AGGTGTCTCAACTGTCTGCTCCTGTTATAATGGCTGCCTATGGGGGAGTTGCTCAGTGACACTGTCCGAACTACTGCCATTTTCTGGCAGACCGTAGGTCCTATGGTAAAAACAAAAATACGGTGAGTGAGAGGAGACTCTGCTGATCGTCCCCATGTATTTTTTTTCTTGTAGGGTCAAGTATGTGGTCAGGGTGGCGATTTCAAAAAGGTGTCTCAACTGTCAGCTCCTGTTATAATGGCTGCCTATGGGGGAGTTGGTCAGTGACACTGTCCGAACTACTGCCATTTTCTGGCAGAGGGTAGGTCCTATGGTAAAAACAAAAATACGGTGAATGAGAGGAGACTCTGCTGATCGTCCCTATGTATTTTTTTTCTTGTAGTAAAAGTAAGTGGTCAGGGTGGCGATTTCAAAAGGTGTCTCAACTGTCAGCTCCTGTTATAATGGCTGCCTATGGGGGAGTTGCTCAGTGACACTGTCCGAACTACTGCCATTTTCTGGCAGACTGTAGGTCCTATGGTAAAAACAAAAATACGGTGAGTGAGAGGAGACTCTGCTGATCGTCCCCATGTATTTTTTTTTTTTTTTTTCTTGTAGTGTAAAGTATGTGGTCAGGGTGGCGATTTAAAAAAGCGGAGTTTGTCTGCTCTCTTCTCAAACTTTTCTGCTCCTGTTATAATGGCTGTCTATGGGGCAGTTGGTCTGCGCTCCTGTCGCTTGAGGGCGCCTAGAGTCTCAAGCCTTTATCCGTTTTTCTTCCACAGTGACATTTTTTTCAGGCCTGCACAAATTTTCCTACGTTTTGATGTATAAATTGTGTGTGTATGTTGGAAATTGTGGCCGGGGAGCGATTTCAAAAAATTTTTTCCCAGTCTTTTTTTCTGCTGCTCCCACTCTAACGTCTAGAGTGGAGGAGTGCATTATGACATCATCACTCCAAAGTTCTACCCATTCATTTCAATGGCACCCAATTTCGCGGGAAAAACGCAAATACCGGACGAACGACAACGGATATCAAGACCATTTGAACAAGCCATCATGTTCAGATCGGCCTGGACGTCTCAGAGTTGGAACGGTGTCTCTATCTCGAAAGCCCTAGGAGGAGTAGGGGGCCACAGAAACGAGTGAAAAGGGAATAAGAGGAATAAGAGGAATAAGAAAACTTAAGAAGAACAATAGTGTGCTTGCCTTGCAAGCACACTAATGAGAGGAATAAGAGGAATAAGAAAACCTAAGAAGAACAATAGTGTGCTTGCCTTGCAAGCACACTAATTATTTTGCCCCATTGTCACCAAAGTAAATATTGGACTGTTTTTTTACAGGCCACATATCCTCTGGTGCTGCAATGACATTTTTAATGACTTTGTTAATTTTTGTTTTGTTAATACTCTTCTGAGCCAGACCAGTCCATCTCCTCAGCTGGATCGTCAAGGGGGACCGAGTGGTCAGAGTCCATGTCGACCGATAGGTTCCTCTGACAATTTTGCTGAGAAACTGAGTGGTCAGAGTCCGTGTCGATTGATGGCTCTTCAGCAGGAGAATCCCCCACAGGGAGATCAGGTCGGGAAGAGCTGCGGGCTGGCGGGCGGGGGTTCCTTGAAGGCACGGTGGTGCCGGAGGGCTGATCAGGATGGCAACGGTGGAAGCCGGTGATGAGGTCCAGGTCGAGGATGTGGTGAGCAGGAACCCAAGACCTCTCCTCAGGACCGTTGCCCTCCCAGTCCACTAAGTTCTGTACTCCCCTCCCACGACGACGGGACCGGACCAGGCACCGCACGTAGTAGGCTGGACCCCCATCGATAAGTCAGAACAGCCGGTGACAGAGGATTCTCTTGGACCGGCTTCACCTTAGACACATGGAAGGTGGGATGAACCCGCATGCAGCGAGGAAGCTTGAGCCTCACCGCTGTCAGACTGATGACCCTCTGGATGGGGAATGGGCCGACAAACCTGGGTGCCAACTTCTTAGACTCCACCTGGAGAGGCAGATCTTGGGTGGAGAGCCACATCTTCTAGCCAACCTGATAAACAGGGGCAGGAGAACACCGCCGATTGGCTAAGGCGGCATAGCGCCCAACGGCGCGCCGGTGGGTAGAGCGAGCCTGGGCCCAGGTTCAGCGACAGTGGTGGACGAGGGCTAGGGCTGATGAGCAGGAGACCGCTCTCTCCAAGACCAGAAAAAGCAGAGACTGATAGCTATAAACGCACTGGAATGGAGTGAGGCCCGTGGCGGAGCTGGAGAAGGAATTGTGGCCGTACTCCACCCACAGGAGCTGCTTGGACCAGGAGGATGGATTCTGGGACACCATGCAGTGGAGGGTAGTCTCCATCTCCTGATTCATACGCTCCGTCTGCCCATTGGAATGGGGTTGGAATCCGAAGAGAGACTGGCGGTGGCTCCCATCAGGCTACAGAACTCCTTCCAGAAGCCTGAGGAGAACTGAGGACCCTGGTTGGACACCACATACACGGGGAGGCCATGCAAATGGAAGACGTGTAGCAGGACCAGTGGAGCAGTCTCCTTAGCTGGTGGCAGCTTGGGCAGAGGGACTAAGTGAGCCATCTTGCTAAAGCGGTCGACCACTGTGAGGATGACTGTTACCGTCAGAGGGTGGAAGGCCCGTGACAAAGTCCAAGGAGATGTGGAACAGGAAGGGGTTGGAGGAGTCCAGCAGGAGCCTGATGGGAAGCCTTGTGGTGGTTGCAGATGGGGCACGCCTTAACGAAATTTTGGATATCTTCCTCCAGAGTGGGCCACTAGAAGCATTGGAGGAGGACATCTCGGGTTCATTGGGAACCAGGATGGCAGGTGAAGTTGGAGGCGTGGACCCATTGCGGAACCTCTGACCTGAGGGCTTCAGGGACGTACAGACAGTTGCGGGGACAGGCGCTGGGACCGGGTTGACCCTCAGTGGCGGCCCTCTCTCCTCAATGTCCCAGGACAGGACGGCTACGACACAGGGGGAGGGAAGGATGGAAGCAGGCCCCTCAGCGCAATCTTCCCCCTTCAGGAATTGACAGGACAGGGCATCAGGCTTGGCGTTGCGGGACCCTGGGCGGTAAGAGAGAGTGAAGTTAAAACAGGTGAAGAAGAGGGACCTGGCAGAAGTTCAGCCTCTTGGCAGTGTGGATCTACTCAAGGTTCTTGTGGTCAGTCCATACTAAGAAGGGTTCCTTGGTGCCCTCCAACCAATGCCGCCATTCCTCTACCGCCAGCTTTACTGCCAACAGCTCCCTGTTCCTGATGTCGTAGTTCCTCTCGGCAGAAGACAGACGCCGAGAAAAGAAGGCACAGGGGTGAAGCTTCTGGTCAGAGGCGGATCTTTGGGACAGGATAGCCCCTACCCCCACGTCCGAGGCGTATACCTCCACTACAAACTGGCAATCTGAGTCTGGCATCTGGAGGATGGGCGCAGAGGTGAATCTGGTTTTCAGGGTCTGGAAGGCCTTGTCAACAGCAGGGGACCACTGGAAGGGCACCTTGGAGCTGGTGAGGGCAGTAAGAGGAGCGGCTGCTGAACTGTAGTTGCGAATGAAACAGCGATAGAAATTGGCAAACCCCAGGAAGCATTGCAGTTGTTTGTGGGAGTCAGGTTCAGGCCAGGAGGGCACTGCAGAGACCCTCGCCGAGTCTATCCGAATGCTTCCTGTAGCCACGATGTACCCCAGGAACGAGACAGATGAGGCATGGAATTCACATTTTTCTGCCTTAACAAGCAGGGAGTTCTCAAGGAGGCGCTGGAGCATAGATTGGACATGATGAACGTGCTTTTCCTGATCTTCGAGAAGATGAGGATGCCGTCCAAGTAAACAAAGACAAAGCAGTTGAGCATGTCACAGAGTACGTCATTAACCAGGGCTTGGAAGACAGCCCCAGCGTTGGTGAGACTGAAAGGTAATGCCAGGTATTCGCATTAGCCTACAGGGGTGTTGAATGCCATCTTCCATTTGTCCCCCTCTCTGATGCGAACTATGTGATAGGCATTGCGGTGATCGAGCTTGGTGAAGATGGTGGCACCCTGAAGTAGTTCGAAGACAGAAGAGATGAGTGGCAGGGTATAGCAATTCTTGACTGTGATTTCATTCATGCCCCGATACTGAATGCAGGGTCGCAAGGTCTTATCCTTCTTCTCCACAAAAAAAGCCTGCCCCAGCAGGAGATGAGGAGGGGCGGATGAAGCCTGCAGCCAGGGAGTCGTTGATATAAGTCGCTATAGCCTTCCTTTCAGGGGCAGACAGAGAGTAAAGGCAGCTTCTAGGGGGCAAAAAAAGGGAAAGAAATCAATGGAGTAGTCAGCAACCATCCTGCTCCCATGTTTCAGGGTTAGTAGTCCCTGAGTGACCTTGGAACTGGAGACCCTCAGACCGAAGACCTTACGTAGCTCACCTGCAAAGCTCTGGAAGGAGATGCAGGCTGGGGACTGTCTCTTCCACTCAGCGGTGCCCCACAGACGAGCCCGGCCCATTAAGTGGTTTATGGTGAAGGCAACCTTCGCCTGCTTGAAAGGGAAAGTACAGGGCTGGAGGGAGAACAGCATGGAGCAGTTTGTCAGAAAGGGGCCGCAGATCTCTGAGTCTTCGTGATATCACTCAGGGGTTCCAACTTGACGTTCTGAGGCCCCCATGGGTAGCACAGGGTCAGGAGCAGGTACAGGTGCAGGAGGGGCAGCGGGCTGAGCCACAATAGCCGTCAGCTGCTGCAGTTCATCGGCTAATGCCGCAAAGGATTGCCTGATGTTGGAGGCGGCAGCAGACATCACAGCCTCATGGTGCTGGAGGACAGCTTCAATCTTCTCCAGTAGGCTCAGGGGAGTAGGATTGCGTGCTGGGTCAGATTGTATTGACACGGGGAGTGGCAGGATGCAAATGCAACACAATCAGAACAAGTGAATATTTACAGACTTAAAGACTTCAAAGCAGGGACAAACAGAATGCAATTCAGAACAGGATCTGGAGCCTGTGGATCTTGAGTGGAGCTCTTCCGGTAACTTGAGGGAGCAGGCGCCGATGGCGGGATTCAAACCCGGGTCACCCACACAGCAGGCGGGAGAGTTACCACTGGGCCACCGGAGCAGGCTGGCTTGAGGCTCGGCAGACGGGGTTGTATCCACACAGGCAGGCAGTGGAGTGGCAAGACGGGTGGCTTGGACAGGGGCTTGGAAGACGGCACACAGGAACCAGGAAGCACACAGGCAGAACTCAGAGTCAGAGGCAGAAGGCAATCAGGTTTACCGGGGCAGGAACAAGAGGATGTAGTCAGACGCAGGCAGAGTCAATTCCATGAAGTCAGACCGAAGACAAAGGCTGGAGAGTAGTGCATGCTGCAATGACAATCTGGCAAAGAGTGAGTGAAACAGATCTGCTGTAACGAGTCTGTAACGAGACTCAGCTGAGAGCAGTTGCAGTGGAAGGGGTGTGGCCAGGCAGAGGGAGAGGCAGCAGCAGCAGGGCAGACTGTGACACATGATATGCCCTATGTATAAATTTCCAGTTTATCATCTGATGGTTGGGGTTCTTCGAGGATAGTGAAATCATATCCCAAACTTCTTTTTCAAAGAATTCATCAATATCTAACTGCAAGTCCTTATTCCAGACTGATGGTATCCCCAATTCCTTATAAGAAAGCTGCCGCAAAAAAGTATAAATCCTAGAAGCAGTGCAATTCTTTTGTTTTTTTTTTTTAAATTTGGCATCTCCAATCCCACCCGAATCTGGAATGCCCAATTGGTGAACTATGTACAAGGCTTGCTCGTATGCGACCCTTTGCTGCCAATTCAGGAGAGTGTAGACAGTTCACGGCTCTCCTCCAAAGCATGCGCCTGTCAGCCACCGCTTCTTGTACACTCATTGGTTGAATCTTCGCAAGTTCAGAATGAGGGCGGAGGATACCCGGACATGAACAGACTTAGAATCTTCCTGACGAGTGCCCGTCTGGCCAACAGGAGGCGCTTGAGCAACGAACAAGGCAACTATTATTTTCCCTTCCCGGCAGTCCCTTCCCAATTTGCAACCCTGTAGCACAATAGCCAATTGTGCGCTACTCTGAAAAAGCTGCCGACCACTGCCGGCTGGTAAGAAGCGGGGATCGAACCCGCGACATGATAGTCACTTCTGCTTCGCAACGCGATGCTTTACCGATTGAGCTATCATGCATTGCAGAGCGGAGGCATAAATACAGAAAAAATGAAGAGCCTGGGATATCATACTGTTCTTTGATATCCTGTAAGCTCCTTAAACCTTGATCATTGAAAATCTCAGCTAATATGGTAATGCCACATCTAGACCATTGAGGACAGAAAAACGGAGAATTTCCCGAAAGAAGATTAAAATTGTGGAATAATTGAGAGTACTGATGCCAAGTCATAGCAGACCCTGTTTGTTTCTCTACTAATCTCCACGTGGCTATGAGGTGTGAAATTATGGGGCCATAACGTAATCTGGACTGTCTAATTGAGACTTCTGAAAAAACGATGTCTTGGAGTCCGCAAGGGGCAACCAAAGGTTCCTCTAATGCAGGCCAAGAAGCTACTGTGGCAGGATCAAACCAGACTGCAAGAGGACGATGTGTTAAAGACTGAGCATATATATTAAAATTTGGTAAAGAAAGTCCCCCGTCCGATTTTTCCCATTGCAGTGAAGAGGACTTAATTCTAGGCTGTCTTCCATTCCAAATGTATCTAGACAGAAGATTATGTAGCTTGTCCCAATAAACTACAGGGGGAGGGAGTGGAATCATAGAACTTAAAAAGTTGATTCTAGGGAGAACGTTCCTTTTTACGACTGATATACAAGCATATAAAGAGTTGGGAAAATGCATCCAATTTGACAAATCTAAGCTGACTTGTTGCAAGATAGCAATGAAATTATGAGTTACATTATCTTGCAAGGAAGGATGGATATTAATACCTAAATATTTAAAATGTCTCACAACAGGAACGGATGGAGAAAAGGGGACCTTGGCCACTGAGAAATTCAATGGTAAGAAATGAGATTTGGACCAGTTTATTCGATAACCTGATATTTTGCTGAAGATGTTAAAAAGTGCTAACAAATTTGGAATAGATTGGACTGGGTTACTTACAAATAAAAGAATATCATTGGCATACAACAAAATGTGGTGAATGTGTTCTTGATAACAATTGGGGAGCACAATGTTGACTGGTGAATTGCTAGAGCTAAGGGTTCTAAAGATAAATAATAACGGAGAAATTGGGCAGCCCAGATGGGTGTCTCTCGTTAAGGAAAATGAAGTTGAACAATTCCAACCAGTTAGTGCAACAGCAGGGGGGTTGGAGTAGAGTAACTTTATCATGAAGAATGTTGAGTGAAAAAAACACCACAAGGTGATCTAATCTGATCAGCAAAATGTATAATATGTAAAAGACGGCAGATATTATCGGAGGCTGAACAGGATTTAATAAATCCAGTCTTATCCTGGTGTACCAGTTTTGTCATGAATCGTTCACGGCGACGTGACAATACTTAAGCATATAGCTTGATATCAGAGCCAGTGAGGGACAGAGGTCAGTAGCTGCTGCAAGACGCCGGGTCCTTTCCCTTTTTCAACAGAAGGGATATGATGGCAATAAGCAATATTAACATCTCTATGAAACGAGCCTGTGGAGATTGCATAGTTGATCATGGCCAGCATATAAGGGCCGAATTCCGGCCAAAAGGTTAAATAAAATTCAGCCGATATACCATCTACTGTATACCTGGAGATTTCCCTTTCTTTGTATCGTTAAGAGCCTCTTCTAATTCCTGTAATGAGATAGGTTGACCTAGATTAACAGCTTCAGCATCAGATAGACAAGCAATATTAAGTGACTAGAAGAAAGATGTGTAGACTTTGGGATTATGGATAGACTCAGAACAATGGCCCAGATAAGATTAATTTTGTTTTTACTAAAATATGATTGTTATTCAAAATAACAATAAAATAAAAAACTTAAAAATGTTTTAATTTCCAGAATTAAAATGTTTGGATCCAAGTAATCGTTAATCATGTTTTGAGTCAGTCAGTCTCAGATTCGCTTTTTAGGAAATCCCATGCCTCGCTCAAGCTAAAAAACAGTGCTGGGTGACCCCTTGAGGTGATTTAATGGCTGTAAAACCCTTGAGGTGATTTAAAATCTTATTATTCCGCAAGGGAATTCTTTAATCGGCCAATGAGAGAAGACTTTATAAAACACGTTGGTTAAAACGACAAAAATTTGAGGGCCAATAGATGGCTTGATCTGCTTCCATTGAAATAGTAGTTCTGTGTGGATCTGTGAATAAGAAATTGAGCCGTTCTTCTAAGCAGTAGGTTTAGCTCCTTTTTAACCAGATTAATCTTAAGAGCGTTATTTTCAGAAGGAGAAAGCTGGTTTGAGTATTCCAGGTTGGTAATTCACTTTCCAGATAGGATATTTTCTGCAAACGAGTCTTATTAAGCAGTGAGGCATAAGAAATGGAGTTATTAGTGGGCAAGCTGGAAGCTTGCACACTCATGTTCTTCCTACTCTTTATTTCTTTCTTTCTTTATTCTCCGATTTCCGTACTGACTCACTACTCCTACATGCTTTAACCCAGAAACTTCAAACTTTAAAAAATTCTGCTTGTTCTGAATTATGTTGCTTGTATTTATCCTCTTGATATCTTTCATACTTTTTGAGTTATTAATTTTTATTTCAATATTTTTGTCCCATAGGAAACAATGAAACAGATTTTTCAAAGTGTAGATATTTTCAGCTATTTTTTATTCTGTAATACTTTTAGCTAGAAATGTCACTCAAAGTGAAAAAATGTTGAGCTAACCTTGGATAATTTCTGTACCATTCAACTTTTTTGTAACTTCTATAATTTTTTTAATTACAGTTTTTTTAATTTTTTTTTTACAATCAATTCTGGGAACTTAAAAGTGTGGTGACATCACGGTTAGAGTGGCGAACATCTGCAAAACCGTAAAGAAGTCTTCTCTTAAACTTGCTCTAACTCCCATAGTTTTCACTCCGCTTAAATATTTTTATGTTTAAGCTGTTGCAAAAGTTGTGCTGGTCACGAAAATGTAACTATGGAAGCAATTGAACAAACGGTCTTGGCTGTATGAGCCGAAAAGCGACGCTCACTGAAACTCCACTAACTCCAATGTTAAATGAGACAAAAAAATTCAGGTTGCGAAGCTAAACGCACAGTTTTCTAACTTGCTCGTGTTCCCATACTTTTGGCACTACGAACACAATTTTGACATATTTCACTCAGCAGACTCTCCTCTTTCGTATGGCACCTCCATTTCTTAGATTGGACTTACCATCTTTGAGTTAGAAGTCGCAATATGTAAGGAACGCCTTCGCTAAAATATCCATTGGACTAAATGATTCAGCCATTAACTCAAATATCTTAGATATGGATCATTTGCGGTTCGATTCTGCCCTCTGCTGGCCTTTTACCAAGCCTCACCATGATCATTGTTCGGAGACAAGATACGACTTTAAAACAAGTAATAATAATTCTGTGTCAAACTCAGTGAAAGAATTTTCGGTATCGTAGTTGGTACAGTCGCTCAAACCAGCTCCAGGACAGTACATTGAGTGCTGGAAAGAACGGTCTTTTTTTGCTGGGTGTGTCCAAGAGAACATGTTACAGTAAAAATGGCAATGCAGAAAATAATTGCTCGAGATCCTATTCCAGCATATAGCTACCAGAAACTGTTTGCATTAGCTAAATATATTTATGATTGTATCTAAAATAGGCGAAATATTGGAATCAAAATAGAGCTAGTCAAGTACAAAGAAATGAAAGTGATGCTAGTCGCTATTGGTTCATCGCTTGATATAACTTTTTCCTGAGTTTTAAAATAGCTGGATTTAAGGCTTGAGTAAGCTCACTGTTATAAACTCGCACCTTTTTTGGCAGTAATTTTAACTGAAATTTTACGATCAGTTCATAACAGAGGTTCTGAGAATGTTAACTGTAAACCACAGTTACATGCACGCAGGACTCAGCTTACAGTTAAAAGAACAAGGAGACAGTGCGTTAATTTAACTGATAAATGCAATCCATTGATAACAGTGCAGTAGCACCTCGTAGTT